TAAGAAACATTTTATAGTTAATGATAAAGAGTTATGACTCATTTCCACCCCCTTTTTTTCACGGGCTCTTATCTCAAAGACTGAAGATATTTTCCAAGTTGAAGAAAAGCAGCATGCAGTAATGTCTTGCAAGGGTTACAAGGAAATAACTGAGGAACAATATAATCCTATTTATCTGTCAAGCAGTAAGAGTGACATCATCTGGTATTTGCCCTTCTTTTTCTAGCTTACTTCATTTAACATGATATCGTTCATTTTCATTCAACTTATAACAAACTTATGATTTCATTCTTCCTTGCATCTGCACAGTATTCCACCTTCCTTATCCACTTATCTGTCATTAGATACTTGGGTTGATTTCATATTCTAGGTTTTGTACTAAGTGCCCCAAACTAAATTGCAATGTCAATCCCAGAGAAAGGGGAGTACAAAATAGGGATGCAGACTATGTTATTGTATTACTTTTTTAAAAAAACTTAATTCAAGTTCCTCTACAAATACATTAGCCAAGGAGCACAAGCCAAGGCTGGTCACCCTATAAGCAAGGCCAATCTGTCCATCATCATTGCTCAACTGTCACTGAGTTTAAGTGACCAATAACTTACTATAATATTCCATTCTCCCCACCTTGAAGGATGTTTTCTGATGTTGTGTCACCAGGAGCTATGCTTAATTATTCAATCTTACATGCTGCAGAATACCTTGTATGCCCATTTTTGCCTGGGGAATGAACAACCCTCACTCAATCTCTTTTGGGCCCAAAGTGCCCTTACACAATACATGTCTTACTCATTTGAAGTAGTATAATTTTTTGAGTCAGGAAAGTAGCCCCAAGACCTAAGACCTTTATTAACATAACATACTCTCTTCCCTTCTGCTGAAACCCAGAACACCATTGTGGTAGGGAGGATGGAGGTACAGCTGGTAAGAGGGCAGATGAAAGAAAACGAATGAGCAACTGCACAGCAATGCCTCCCCATGCATTGAATGACATTATTTTAAAATTCATTTTTTATTAAGGCACTGTAATTTACAAATTTGTTCATAATAGAGTGTAAAATCTTAGAATGCCGAAGGTTGTGTGTTTGTGAGCTCACTGGACAGCACTGTCTCACCGCCTGTGTTCAGTGTTCTTGAGCCACTGTGTGTGGCCTGGATCGGGACGGCTGTTGGCCAAGGGCAGACGGAAGAAGAAATGAGGGCCAGGCTGGTCGATATCAGTAGTAGTTTATTCCAATCCTCTTCACTCCTGTCTCTCCTCTACTTCCTTCTCTCCTGGACCTCAATCTGGAACCTTTCTCCTTCTGGCTCTGACTCTGTATCTCTGGAGCCTGAGCCCTCTCACTTCTGACTCCGCTCTCTGAGCTTACAGTCTTAGTTTATATAGCAATCATGTAAGACGGTGACACAAAGGTGGGTTGAATCTTGACAAATCAACAATGAGAGGTAGGGCCACTCCTCAGGAGACTCTCATGGATAAAATCTCATCTAAAGATATTACTCCAGATTGCTAGGATATCTGCTCAAGGGTGGGATCCTAACAAGGGTGTGTTCTTTCCTTAGCTAGTAATCTACTTAAATAGTTGTAGTAAATCTATTTCTAATATTTCTAACAATGTCATTCTGTGTGAGCACAGCAAGAGATATAAACATCTCATTATACATTCTGCAGTCCTTGGGCCAGGTTAGTCTTCCTAGCCCCAGCAGGGTCCTAGTCTCGTCGTTACTTACTTTTGGATCATAACAGCATTTGTCCATGATTATGTCCTCAACTTATAGTTGAGTATCATGGCGCTTTGGCCTGGCCCATTTCAATGCCAGGGTAGCTCACAGCTTGCCCTGGGTCCATTCAGTTCCTTGTCGGGACACTGCTTTTAGAGTGCTAGAAACTAAGGGCAACTGAGTCAAGAAATCAGATGCCCAGGAGTAAATATTATTCGGAGTCAATCAACTCCCAAGTTACAAAGCATAACATTAACTGTCTTCCTGTGTCCACACATAAAGGACATTGCTTACAAGTTCAGTGTCCTTAGAAGGGTGTGACCCAATAAACCTAAGCTACCTGAGGAAGGACAAAACAGTGTTATCCTACAATAGAGTTTCAGGCATATAATGTCCCCAAATCAGTCCCACTACCAGTGTCAATTTCCCTCCAACAATACCCCCATGTTCCCTCCCCCCCAGTCTACCTTATTAATAGGCACACTTTAAAGTTTAGTTTGATTTAGTTTTGGTCTTTGGACCACACCTTGCAGTGCTAATTACTTCTTGCTCTGTGTTCAATGATCACTTCTTGATCAAATCTAGGATGGCCGTGTGCAAGAAAAGCAGCTTATTTGGTGTACTATCTCTTCAACCTCTTAGGTATGGTTATTATAGTCTTGATTTCATTATTATAGTACTGAAGGCTCTGTGGTTTAGATACATATACACACCACACTACTAAACATGTGCCAAGGGCCCAAAAACCTGCACCTGTAACCTCCTATTTTTTCTTCTTCCCTATCTTAATTTATATCTTTTCCTTTCCTTCTCCTTTCTATAAATTTATATACTTCCCTGTCATTCTCATTGATATGATACCATGTATTTCATTGTCCTATTATTCTATATACTTCAGATAAGTTAGATCATCCTGTCCTTGTCCTTCTGGCTTACTTCATTTAACATATCTTCCATTTCCATCCAAGGTACAGCAAATTGCATCATTTAATCCTTGGAGTTGAATAGTACTCAAATGTATGTATATACCACACATTCATTAACCACTTACCTGATATTGGACACCCTGTTTTTTAATTTCATATTTTAATGATTGGAATAAGTGCTGAAATGAATAATGGCATGCTTATGTCCTTTATAATTAATGTTTTGGATTTTTTAAACTGAATCAATGTGAGATATACCTTTACAATGCTGTTCACAATTGTATTTCAGTCATACAGTATTCCAACACCCATCCTTCCACCAGTGTATCAGTTTATATATCCCAGCAACAGTGTCCCCAGGTTCCCTCCCATCATCTCACACTCCCTGCCTGCCTCTATGGAAGATTCTTCTTCTTCTTCTTCTTCTTCTTCTTCTTCTTCTTCTTCTTCTTCTTCTTCTTCTTCTTCTTCTTCTTCTTCTTCTTCTTCTTCTCTCTAGCTATATATCTACCTCTCTATCCTTTGGGGCAATGTGGTTTGCAATATTGATACCAAAAGGTTATCAAGAATATCCCTCTACCTACTTTTAACCCTTGGATCTTGTCCAGCACGATCATTTCCAGCTATTATTGTCATACTGGTCTCTTCTCTATCTTACCTATCCTCAGCTCCACACATTCTTGTGGTTAGTTTCAACTATTTAGCAGTCCTCCAAGCCCCTGTTTTCCCTGGTCATGGACACTAGTCTTCTACTATATATTTTATTTATATATCACAAACAGGTGCAGTTATTCTGTACCTGTCCCTGTCCTTCTGACTCATTTTACTCAGCATGATTTTTTTTTTACTTTAGTCTTTGGGATAGATCATAGGAAGTAGAACTGAAATGGGTTAATGGAAGTTCTATTATTACTTTTCTGAGTAATCTCCACGCTGTTCTCCATAGGGATTGAACCAGACAAATTATTACAACAAATCCTTTTGCAGCATCCCCACTAACTCAGATGGCTTCAGGTTTGTTGTTTTTGGTTTGTTTTGAGTGTGTTAATTTCACAGGGCCATTTTCATTCTGATTTCCTTGTTGGTAAGTAATGATGAGTACTTTTTCCTTTGCCTTTTATTTTCAGAAAAGTATTCATTTCTTCTCTCCAATTTTTGATACGGTTTTGTATTTTTTGTATTTTGTATTTTTTTGTATTTTTTGTTTGTTGTTGAGTTTTGTTCTATAAAACCCAGCTCCCGGAAGAGAACAGCTCAGAATCTCCTGTCCCTGTGCCTGGCTGTCCTCACTGGGGCCCCTTGGAGAGGAGCGGGTTGAGTTTCCCTCCCCGCCCCGAGCAGAGCCCTGGCAGCTGAAGACCTCCAGACCCAGCCACAACCATGCTGAGACCACTCTCCACACGCATGAAGATACTGGCGGAGGAACAAAGGCATGCGGGTCCTGGGGCTGAGATCTCCAAGCCTGCTCAGATCAGGGCTGAGCATCCTCCACCCAGATCCTCCATCTTCCAGTAGGTAGGGGTCACACACACCAACTGCCCCCTGATGCCGTGTAATCCCATCAAGGGCTAAAACCCAGAGACTATAAAACCCAGCTCCCAGAAGCACGACATCTTATTATCTCATTTTCACTTTGGACAACCTGGCAGGCTACTGAATGTAACCTGCCCACACGGCAGAGTCTGGCAAACTCCCCGTGGTGTACCCAATAACCAAATACCAGTAACAATGATGGGTCTCATTCTCCTAACCCTGAAAGAGCCTTGAATATTGCACTTTTTAAAATCTCAGGGCTAGGGAGAAGGAGATATTACTGGTGCCTGCTCGAGGTAATCGACGAACAACAGGATGATCGTGACCATGATTGTTGAGTTTTGTGGATGCTTAATATATTTTAGATATTTTAGATATTAACCCTTTATCTGATGTATGAGTATGAATATTTTCTCCCAATCATTGGATATATTTTAGATTTAGTATTTATTTTGCCAATAAATTCAACTCTTTTTATTTTTTATTTAAGAAGTTGAATTTAGAATCTAAAGTCTTTCCATAAAAGAATAGCCAACTCAGAAATTTTTTGCATTAAATTCTATTTAATACTTAAGGAGGAAATAACACTAAGTTATTTAGTGTTAGTTCCTAACCATTTTTCCCCAGCCCAAGCAGAAATCATTGCTGATATAGCATCACCCATATACCAAGTTAAAAAAATTACTTTCGTACCTTGATTTACAAAATTATCCATAGTTGAGTTTTAGATATACAGTGTTCCAGCATCATTCCTATCACCTATGTTCTCAGATTCACTCAATATCAACTCATACCAGCCTGAATAATTTTTAAGGAAGAATCAGTTTGGTGTAATAAGGGTGTTGTAAGTCCTAATCATGCAGAGACATTAATCACAAATTTTGCTAATTCTAGACATCCCGTTCTATCTACCTCTTAACTAGAGGAACAGGTAAGAATTTTCCTACCTAACAATCCGGCCTACATCTTGACAGTTGTTAGATTAGTTGTTAATATTTGAGTCTTATGATTTCAGTGTTTTTGAGTCAATCTTTTTTTTTTTATATAGTCCAGGAGTTTCTTTATTTTTAAACAACACTTCTCATGCCATGAATTCATAAGGAATGGGCTCCAGCAGCTCAGGTTCCTTTCCATTGGTTCTTACAAAGTGTGCTTCTCTGGGTGGAGCAGGCTGGCGCTTCAGTTGAACCCAAGTTCCTTTCTCTTTGGCTTCCTTCTTTTTCTGATCATTTTCCTTCACCCGTTTCAGGAAGCTCTCTCGACTTTTAGAATGCTTAATATGCTCAATGTGGACATTAATTCTCTTGGCAAGAATCTTGCCCTTGACTTGTTTGTTAACAACAATGCCAACGGCATGCTGGGTAACATTGTAGACTCTTCCAGTTTTGCCATGATAACATTTGTGGGGCATTCCTTTTTGGACAGTGCCCATTCCCTTTATGTCTACGATATCACCTTTCTTGTATATACGCATGGACGTGGCCAAAGGAACAACTCCATATTTTCTGAAAGGTCTGGAGAACATATAGCGGGTGCCCCTCCGCTTTTCCTTTGTGTTGGTCATTTTTGCGATTTACTTTACTTTACTGAACGCTGGCGGTTCCGGCTGAAAGGAAGCGAGTCAATCTTTTAGATATTATTTTCTCTGCACTACGGATATACCTGAATTCACATTATCCCTGCCCTCATTTCTTTCTGTGTCTCTCTTCCACTTAAATTTCTTTCATTTTCTATTTTCCACCATATACTCTGAAGCAAGGGTTATCTAGTCATCTCCCTTTAAAACATTGCATTTCCTCATCCAGCTTTTTTAAATGCAATGTATAAATGAGATCATCTTGTTATTGTACTTCTTCATCTAGTTTATTTCATTTAACATATCTTCCAGTTCCATCCATGTTGCAATAACTTGCATGATTACATTGTTTCTTACAGCTGTGTAGTATTCTATTGTGTATATGTACACCACATCTTCATAATCACTTAAGATACCAATATTTGACAAATATAAGAGTTATATTTTTCTTAGGAATAAAGATCTCAGCTGCTCGGCAGACCTCCATTACCTACACTACCTCCACCACCCGGCTGCCGACATGCTCCAGGAGGCTTTCCAGACACTCAGGTCAAGACTCACACATGAGTGAAGTCCCCACAGAGTGAGGGAAGTGGAACTCTGTGACCTCAGACTCCAGGCTCAATGGATCCGGGAACAGAGATCCTCTGCCTGCTCTCAGCCGCCCGGCAGACCTCCATTACCTCCACTACCTCCACCACCCCGCTGCTGACACTCTCCAGAACGATTTCTGGACCACGCGGCCACAACGTGGCCATGCGACACATTATAAAACACTTATTACAAGATTACCGCACCATATTTGATTGCGTTGAAATATGGTTTGAACCATGGGAACACCTGCAAGGATCATTAGAGGCCATCCTAGAAGCCTCTATCCCTCTCAGAAAGACTGGCAAGCTACCGAGAGTGCTCTGCCCACATGGCAGAGCCTGGCAAGCTATCCGTGGTGTATTCGATATGCCAAAACCATGGGTCTCATTTCCCTGATTCGAAACAGCCACCAATATGGTAGTATTAAGAAGAATGAGGAAGGAGAGGCTGATAAAATCTCAGGGCCGACCTAGGCTGCCACAACAAAGAAAAACAAAAATGACTGTCTGTACTTTCAATGCACGTACACTAGAATTGCATGCATCCATCGAGGACCTCATGGTGCAAGTACAAAAGATCAAGTATGACATCATTGGTCTGATGGAGATGAGAAGGCATCAATCACATCATGCCGTTTTCAACACTGGGGAAGAACTGTTCCTCAGAACATGTGACAAAAGAGGCATCAGTGGTGTCAGTGTCCTTGTCAACACAAACTTGGTCATAAACTTTGATTCATTCAAATGCCTAACAACCCGAATCAGATGATTACACTTGAATAGATGTGGCTCACTGCCAGCAGTTACTATATTCGTTGTCTACGCACCAACATCCAATTATGATGAAGGAGAAATTAAGAAGTTCTACATGGAGCTGGAGAAGTTCTATAAAGAAGACCACACCTTCTACACAATCATTGTCGGTGATTTTAATGCCAACATAGGACCGATAAGATCAGCCAAAGAACTCCACATTGGGACCCATGGCCTAGAATGGAGTGAACAAGGTGAGAGACTGAGTTCATCATGTCAACCAAGACCATCCATGGTAACTCACAGTTCCAGAAACCTGAATCTAAATGTTGGACATAATCTAAACATTCTTCATATAATATTCTCCAGTTCCATCCATGTTGCAGCAATTTGCATGACTTCATCATTTCTTGATATTGCAGAGTATCCCATTGGGCGACCAGATGCCATTGGGCTACACTAGCACGTGACAAGGATGAATGGAGATGTTACTGGCACCCGCTCAAGCAAGTTGATGATCAACAGGATGACAAGTGATCCCATTATGCAAGTATATTATACCTTTATTACTTACTCAACTGTCATTGAACACGTGGGTTGATTTCATATCTTAGCTATTGTATACCTCCACCACCTCCACTATCCAGCTGCCGCCACACTCCACGATGCTTTCCGGACACATTATAAGACACTAAATACCCATCTTCCGGAATTGCCGTACCATATTTGATAAGGTTCAAATATGGTAACACCTACAAGGGCAATTAGAGGTCGCCCCAAAAGCCTCTAACCCTCTCAGAAATCCTGGCAAACTACCGAGAGTATTCTGCTAGCACGGCAGAGCCTCACAAGCTATCCATTGTGTATTCGATATGCCAAAACCAGTAATTATAATGGGTCTCATTCCCCTGGCCCTGAAGGCCTCACCAATATGGCAGCATTGAGAAGGATGAGAAAGGAGAGGCCAATAAAATCTCAAGGCCGAACTAGGCTGCCACAATGAAGGAAGACAAAAATGATCGCCTGTACTTTCAATGCATGCACACTAGCATCAGATGCATCCATCGAGGACCTGATGGTACAAGCATGAAAGATCAAGTACGACATCATTGGTCTGACCGAGACAAGAAGGCACCAATCTCATCATGCCGTTTTCGACACTGGAGAAGAATTGTTCCTCAGAACATGTGATAAAAGAGGTGTCAAGGCGTCGGTGTCCTTGTGAATGCAAACTTGGCCATGAGCATTGATTCATTTGAATGCCTAACAACCCGAATCAGAAGTTCACATTTGAATAGATGTGGCTCACTGCCAGCAGGTACTATCTTCGCTGTCTACGCACCAACATCTAATTATGATGAATGAGAAATTGAGAAGTTCTACATGGAGCTGGAGAAGTTCTATACAGAAGACCACACCTTCTACAAGATCATTGTGGGTGATTTTAATGCCAAGATCGGACAGAGAAGATCAGCCGAAGAACTTCACATCGGGACCCATGGCCTAGAATGGAACAAACAGGGTGAGAGACTGTCTGAGTTCATCATGTCAACCAAGACCATCCATGGTAACTCACAGTTCCAGAAGGCCGAATCTAAACGTTGGACATGGGAGTGTCCCGGTGGACGATTCCACAACGAAATAGACCACATAATATTCTATCGACAGTTTTGCCTGACCGATGTTGCTGTTGTCCCAAAATTCCAAGTGGGATTTGTCTCACCATCTCCTTTGTGCAAAATTCTACTTCACAGAGCGGGGAGAAAGGGCTGCAAAGTTTAAAAAGAGAACTCCCAGAATGACCACCAACTGGGAGCTCTTTGGCACTATTGCGGCAACATGGGAAGATGCCATTGTTGACAACATTGACAAGGAATATGATCGACTGGTTCAGCACCTCCATGATTGTGCGTGGAACGCCGAGAGAGATAGCCAAAAAAAAAAAAAACCGCCTGTCTTCGAAAACTCTTGAGCCTATTCGCCAACGTGGTTTGGTGCATGCCTCAGGCAACCACAAGTGAATGTCTGAGCTCCCAAAGCAGTGCAGAGATGCGATCAAGGAAGACCTCAAAGAGAGAAGAGCAGAAGTGCTGGTAGATGTGGGAGAAGCCAGGAAAAGTATTCGTAACGCCCGCCTGTCCTTCGCCAACTACAAGACCAAGATGACTGCCCTCCGACATCCTGATGGATCTATCACATGTTCAAGAAGGGCAATGGAGAATATTATCGATGACTTCTACTCAAATCTCTTCGATAGCCATGTCCACTTGCTGACATACCAAATTCCACAGGATGGATATGTCATTCCCAATGTTCTCCCTTTCAAAATCCGACACGCCATTTTGTCAGTAAAGAAACGAACAGCACCCAGCCCAGACAAGATCAGACCTGAACACCGGAAGAACCTGCCGTCAGTACTCATCAATGTGCTGGCTCAGCTCTTCACACGCTACCTGTCTGAATGCAAGTTTCCGTCTCAATGGAAAACCAGCAGGACTGTACTACTGTACAAGAAGGGAGACATCCATGACATTGGCAACTATCGCCCTATCTGCCTATTGTCTGTCATCTACAAGTTGTTCACTCAAGTCATCCTAAATAGGATTGGCAGAACACTAGATGAAGGACAACCATGTGAGCAAGCCGGGTTCCGCAAAGGATTCAGCACCATCGACCATATCCACATAATAACCAAGCTCATTGAGGTTTCTCAGGAGTTTAAGATGCTGCTCTGTCTAACGTTCATTGATTTAAAGAAGGCCTTTGATTCTGTTGAGACTGAAGCTGTCATCGAGGTCCTAGCCAAATAGGGCGTTCAATGTCACTACATCAGGATCCCCTGTGAGCTGTATTGTGGATTCACTATCAGGATCTCACCGTTCTACAAAGAAGTGATCATCCATGTCAAGAGTGGGGTTCGGCAGGGTGATACCATTTCACCAAAACTCTTCAGTGCCACCCTCGAGAACATCATGCGATGACTGGAATGGGAAGGAATGGGAATGAAGATAGATGGTCGGCAACTACACCAC